ATTCGATTTACAAGATTAGAAACTAACAATTAGTTAGAAAGATTTATGGAATTATAAATACTAAATTTTTTAATCTTTAGAAATTTGATGCGATAATATAGAATATCTTCAACGAAATGGAATGTTTYACGAATATTCACTAATTAAATGAATAAAATTATTAACTATTTGCGGCTATCTTAAATATCATTTGTTAACTTTCATTCTCTATATAAAACACATGTTAATCGATACATGAGACTCAAAACATCGTTTCACTATTTTTTTTTTTGGCATTTCTTTGTTATCATTTTTAATGTTTTCATAGTTGAAATTTAATCAAATTTTTTGTTTGTCGTTTGGCAGGTTATATTGAGTTCAATCTCTGACATCATTGTTAGACTTTCTCCAACAGTATGAGGTTTTCTCAATACTTCAACAATATGTGGTTCTCTCAAAATCATTCATGTTTTATGTCATATATTCATTTTGTTTATCATGTCTAATGCTAAATCTATACTAAAAGGCTTTGAGGACTATAAATGTTCGTGAAGAAGAAGAGAAGCTAATACATATGGGTTGCTTACTTCAATTTGGAAAACGAACGTGGAAGTCCTCCAAAGGTGATAGTCTTTATATATTGCCATCTAACTCTCGTGTTTGTTTCATGTATCCAGGAATATTTGTTATCATATTTTTTTAATCTTTAGTCTCAATATTTTGATCTTTAATTTTTTTTCAAGAACATTTTTAAACAAATATTTCAATCTGACTTTTTTTTTTTTGCTAGAGTTTTGATTACAGTTTGGAAGGCATTCTTATCGAAAAATTTATTTGAGAGCTTTGGAGATTTAAATAACAAAAATTTTGAATCCCCAACTTGATGCTCGAGCTTTTCCTTTTTGATAACAAAAAAAATTATCACTAAGATACTACTATTGGCTAAGTCATGGTATTCTGCTTTGAGAAGACAAGTTGATACTCAATGTTGTTGTACCACTCAATAGTGATCTCAAGCTGATTTTTTAAAATGACACGGTATGCAAATTATTTTGTTCATAAATATACGTACGAGTGACATTAAGATGGTGTTTTAGTACATGGATTGTAGACAACATACATAGATCATATCACTAGAAGCATGTGTGGGACATTATACAAGAATCAAAAGAAATCATAAGCTATTGTAGAATTATTTTTAGAGATATACATACAATTTAAAAAAATATTAGACGGGTTAGCGCATACATATTTTAATTATATTAAACCAAATAACTATTAAAAATTGTATATTTTGTTTTGCTTATAAATTTGTTTTTTTCTGTTCTGAGAAGCTACCAGCAAATGTAAAACTGACAATGAACAACAAAAGTTAGATAATGAAGTTCTTTTTTTGTCAACTAAAAATTAATCCAATTAGGCAAAAAGTTGTTTATAAAAAAAAATCTATTGTTCTAAGAACGGGCAGAACATATCAAACAGTCCATTTTTAAATTAAAAGTATGAGAAACTAAAGATATAGAAAAATGAAAAAAGCGTTCGTCTCTCTCCCAGAATATTGCTGAGAGGATAGAGAAAGTTGAATTCATCCAATACTTTTAAAATGGAGAAAGCGGTCGTGCATCTCCCAAATTTTTGCTTAGAGGATAAAGAAAGTTGAATCCACCTTTATTGATCTTATATTGGTGGAATAAAACGTCGATTTAGTTTTGTAGTAACAATTATTGATCTAAAGCTGATCTTTTTAGATGAACCAGTATGCAACTTGTTATGTATTTTTTAGTTATGTGCATAAATAAATATTCACACAAATCAAATTAAGATGATGATAAATATGAGTAATAAATTTTATTATTTTTAGAAACATTTGTTAGTTTAATGCCAAAATTGTAAAATTTAGTGTAGATAGACGATAATGGAAAAACTATGTTATTCGGATTTGTTTAATCATTTTTTAAATTGATCCAAAGCCCATTTTTTAAACTCATATCAATATTTAAAAATAGTAAACAAAATTGTGAGTCAAAAGTCTCATATCAGATATCAAAATTAATTTTGGTCTACATTCATATTATGAAAAAGACCAACATAATGAGAAACGGTAAAAATATATGAAAAGTAATTTAACATGCACTCAAATTTGAAAATTGTATTTGGACATAAGATCATTGCACATTATTAAATTTTATTATCAATAGACTAAAATTTATTGGAAAATTTTATTTTCATTCAACCAAAAAATAGATCACATAAAATAAATAATTGCAAATTATACAAAAATCTA